GTCAAAAATTGAAGTGCAAAAGTTCTTTGCAAGATTTGATATTGATGAAGATGATATTTATTTACTCTATGATGAAAAAGGACTTGGACTGGGAGAAGCATTAGTGAAGTTTAAATCTGAAGAACAAGCCATGAAAGCAGAAAATTTAAATCGTCAAACATTTTTGGGAACAGAGGTATTAATAAGACTTATATCTGAAGAGCAGATGCAGAAGTTTGGTGTATCTGTACCATTATCTGCACCGAATGAAGTGCATGGTTATTCACATCCGTATGACAGAGGTGAGCTTTCCCGTCCGGTCAGTTCACCATCTGGGCCACCACAAGGGCCACCCATGCATTCATTTGGTCCCCCCGGGAACTTTAGGCATCATTCTGAATTTAGACACCCCCCTGAGGACTTCATGGGCCCTCCTAAGGATTTTAGAGGTCCACCACCCCTCATGGATTTTGGTGGTGACAGTGAACCTTTTGGCAGAATGGAGTTTGGGAATAATAAAATGGGAAATTTTCCTGAAGGAAGATTTATGCCGGATCCAAATTTCAGTGGTGGTTCTGAACGTGTTGTTCCTATTCTATTGAAAAATTTACCTTTTAAAGCTACTCCTAATGAGATTCTGGATTTTTTCTATGGCTACAGAGTGATTCCGGAGTCAGTTTCTGTGCAGTACAATGAACAAGGATTACCTTCTGGTGATGCCATTGTTGCTATGACAAACTATGAGGAAGCTATGGCTGCTATTAATGAACTGAATGATAGGCCGATTGGTCCACGGAAAGTTAAGTTGAGCTTGCTGTAAAGGAGGAAAAGATGCTCTATAGTAAAACATTCTAGGTTTGACAGTATTGACAGTTATTTTAACTTTTTTTAATTCCTGGAATATCCAAAAGAAACAGTTTCCATCAACGGTTGTAAATAATACCCAGTTCAGTTGTTTATCTCTTGGTTGAAATGTCTGTAGGACATTGGAAGTCATATATCAAGGTCTAAAGGGATGGAGTTGTAATGCTTTGGGGTTTTTTTTAGTTTGTTTTAACTCCATGTCCTCTGTCTTTGCATCAAATAAAAATGTAAATGCTGGTTGACTGACCACGCAAACGGTTCAAATAGAAGATTTTCAGTGCTACCTGCATTAGTAAATAACACTTCTTACTGAGTTTAGCTTAAAATTTAAAAGATGAATGATTTTTATATTTTGGGTTTTGTTTTTGTGTAAACTTCAGGTTTTATTCGGTTTTATGTGTTTGCAGGTGTTCCTGTTAAAAAAAGAAAAAAGCGCTTCCTGTTCACATTAGCTGGCTTTGCAATTTTTTTTAATAAAAAGGAAATTGCCATTTAAATGTGTGTCTTCTATTTAAAACTTAGATAGTTAATGGTTTCAACTATTATGCTCAGCAGATGTGGGTCTTGGTGAGAATGATGCTGGCTACTTCCTCTGGGAAGAGTGAATTGTTACAGTTTGTCAACACAGTGAAGAAAAGGTAGTTAGTTTACAGAGATTTCAGTCTGTATTAATCAGTTGGACAGGTTTTCTTCTCGGTCACTGTAGTACCTTGAGGCAGAAAATGAATGTTGAAATCAGATCAAGAATTCTGATTCAGTGGTCTTCATTTTATCTCCACATGCTGCATAATGTGAATACTACCTTGCTGATGATGTTTGGATACATTCCAGGTCAATCTCTGATTAGTTTTAACTAACATGTCTCATGGTAACCAAGCTGACAACCAACTATGTTATTTTCTTATGTAATAAAATAAATGCTTATGTCAGCATTTAGAATATGTTGGTTAGATTGGTTTGGTACCACCATATTTAAATTTTAGGAAGAAATAAAAGCTAGCCTGGAAAAGCTGCATGTTCAAAATTCAGGCTTAGTAGGAAACTTTGGCTGTGTGGGTAAGGACTTTTGTGCACATTGCAACTGTGCAAGATAGTATTTGGAGTACTAAAGAATTTAATGAATTTTAGTCCCCTCAGACTAGGACAGCAAAGTTGCAACTTGGCAGTGAAAACTTTTAACCTTTGCTTGAGCAATACAAAAAATCATAAATTCATGGAGTAGGGAGGTCTCTAGTCCAACCCCTTCCTCAAAGCAGTGTCCGCTAGAACAGGTTACTCAAGGCCTTCAGTATTTAATAGCTCTAAGAACAGAGCTCTCTGGGCAGCCTGTGGTTGATCCTCGTCACTGGTGGGTCAAATTTTAATTGCTTTATTTATGTAAAGTCATCATCGTAATTGCTAAACCTGCACATAAACTGTTAATTACAAGCAAACAAAATCAAGAGAAATTTTTAAAAGGTTATTGTAGCTTTATTTCCTCTGCATATTATTTGTTCTCTATTTTAAGTGCCCAGAAAAAAGCATTTTGAATGAAAATGCAAGGTCTGTGTATGTAGCAAAGAAAAATATATGACTAAGTTTAAATTCTGAACACTTAATATTCATTTTTTTGCTGTCTGGTAGGAATTAGCTTCAGAATCATATGGGTTTGAATCCTGTAAATTTAAAGGGCATTAAAATAAAACCCACAAAGTTGTGCTTTTATTTCATAGCTACTGTGAAAGAGATCAAGGAGCCAGAAGACTTTGCAGGTAAAAGACATGAGAATCCTCAAAATGAACTTCCCTAACATTATCATTATGTTGAAAACTTGATTGTGATTATTTTTGTAAGCCAGTGTCTTTATTACTAAGCTGTGTTGAAAATATGAATGCAAGTAACTTCTCCAGTTAGTCAGTTTTAGATCATTTGCTGGTTTTAAAGTTCTTCCAGCTACTATACAACAGGATATTTCAAACTTGGAGGGAAACAGGGAAGTTTAGTAGGTTTTTTTTGCCAGTAAAGCGTGAGAATGTCTTTTAGAAATAACACCCGTTCTCAAAGAATTTAAGAGTAATTACTGGTAAAATACCATTAATTTTTGGGATGGTAAACTCCCCCCCCCCCTTAGTGAAAATATTAAAAAAGAATCATAAAGCTTGTAATGGCAGAGGTCATAATTGAGGCATTTCAAAATGGTTTTCTGTTTGCTCTATAGCTAATTTGTATTTAATTTAAAGCCAGATTAGAGTTTATAACCAGTTTATCTGAAATGTTTGACTGACAGGCCAAAGAAATAATTATTTTTTCAAGGTCTATAAATACAAAAGCTGTACTTCAAAGTATGTACAGATGAACTTGAAGCATAGGGAAATTGGGAAGGGATGCCAGTGTATCAGTGAAATAATGTTACTAGGATAGTTGATTCTTAGTGTATAGGTGTTATCTGATTGGTGTTTTGGCTCCGTGTGTGTCCATCCTTCTCTGTCCCCTTTCTCTCCCACCGGGATGTGTATATATAGGGATTATATTCCGATTCTGCCTGAATAGGTGGTACAGGTGCATGGTGTGGTGGCAGCATTTCCTGATAATAGGGTTATATAACTTTAGATGTTTAGTGGCTTGAAGGCACTGTACTTTTGGTACAATGGACAAATCAGAAGCCGTCTTATAATTACATGGCTTGAAATACTGTTCTTTCTTTTTAAGTACCATCCACATAGTAAAAGAATAAAAAATGAAATGCTGCAGTTTGTGACGTTGATATAAAATACAGCAAGTTTCCTTAGTTATGCCTTCTCTGAAGTTGCTTTTGCTACCATTGTCCAAAAATTCTGGTGTAAAGGAGAATAGTCTCTATTGTCAAGAACTAGAAATAGTGATCACCTACCAAAGCAGCTTGAGGCGTTCAGGGAAGCTGTAACAGCACAGTCTGGTTAGTACAAGAAGATAACCCTTAATCCCAAAAGGCATGTGCCAGCATTTTCAACAGAGTGGCAAAATATTCTTAGCAAGATTGATACAAGCCTGCATCATCTAGGTCTTAGTAGTCAAAAATACATGTGAGTGAGAAATATCAGTCTTGCAGCAAGCACTTATGCCACGAGAAAAATCTTTGCAGAAGTATCTTTGAATTCTGTAACTACATTCTAAATTATTCTTCTGGTTCTAAAGTATTTTAATCAGGGACTTTTCATCTCTAGTTTCAAGGTCACACAAGTGCTGTGCAACATGCAAACCTAAGACATCATACATGCAGGACAAAGTTGCCCAACACTATTTCTGCTGTTCTGGAAGTTTTCCTGTAATTCCTGAAGTTGACTTTTTTGTGAGGTAGTGAGAAGGAATTCGAAGCTGCTCAGGAAAACAAACCCCTCATTCTTACCCTAGCTACTAATGTTTTAGGGGGGAATTAATTAAACATGGCTGCCTTTTTTCAGCATTCCTTTCTCAAGGCATAGTACACAATTAATCACTGTTTGCATATAAGTATATGATATGAAAGCCTGGTATTGTTATGAAGTTAGCCATCTGTTTTGGAGATGGACTACTTCATTGAGTATGAATGGTAAAGTGGTGACCACCATAATTCTGATGTTGTGATACAAATATTTATTGAAGTGCCTTAGTTGCTGAAATAGATGGGAATTGGTTACCTAGATAGTTTTAAAGTTGTGCTCATTTTTATTTACTCTTTGTCAACAGCTGTACAATGTTAGTATTATGTTATTCTGGTGTAAAATTATTTTCTGGGTTTAAAACAGAACCCTTTACTGTGACGTTTTCATTTATATTTCCATCACATTAATTTTTGGCAAAACTTGTTTTTTCACATCAGAATAGGTATGCATCAATACTATAAATGCACTTTTTGGTTTATTTCCTTAACTTGAAATTTTTTTCCTAGTGACAAGTTTAAATTCTATATTTATGCATGCGTTCGCTCTTTAACTAAAGCTGGAGATGAACAGTGTGGTAGCGGCTTTCCGGCAGACAACTGTTAAAAAATGAACATGCGTATCACCATCTCCAAACAGAATAAGAAATTACACTCAAAATGTGTAATTTCTTGTACGTTTGATGGAATCAGTAACTAAATCATGTAGTTAAGCACATGAAATTTGAACTCTATAGCATATCAACGAATATAATAAACATCAACTACATAAAATATCCACTAGTTTTATCATGAAGGCACTTTTATTTAAAAGCAAAGCAGCAATAAACGTAGATACTGGGCTCAGTCCTTATTTGTGAGCATTGATTCTCTATGTGTAAAGGAATCAAGTCATCTTAGCCTGAGGAAAGCCTGAGGAAAATGAAAACGAGAAAACAATACACCTCACCCTGCCTTCTGCCATCCAAGGTGCGTAATAAAGTGAAATCTTAACATGTTGTTGCTGCAAACAGTTTCTTGATTACTACAATTCATTTAGGATATATAAACCCAATCATGACAGGTACAGCTAGAGGACTTACTAAATGGAAGAGGTGTTTAGCTAGAGAATAAGGTAATATATTGGCAAAGTTACAAGCAAACCCTTATGTTCATAAATGGTTGTCAGCTTAGTGCAGTTTTTGGACACTGTTCATGTAAGTTTAAGCAAATATGACTGCAATACAATATATATGCAAATATAATAGAGGATTCTATTTAAATATTTCATTTTCTAGCTACTGAAATTGTCCATTTTCAGCAGATTTTGTTCCATTCTTTGAAACTGGTCATTTGTTGTCCGGCACTCTAGAATTAGTGCTTGTTCCTGTTAGAATTTTAAATATACAGCCTCAGTGAAATTTTTGATCAACACACAAAAGCCTTTAGGTAAAGGGATTTTTTTCCCCCTTAATAAAACCCCCCTCTTAGAATAGCTTTGTTATCTCACTTCCTTAGTAGCATCAAATTCTTCCTCCTCATCCTCCTCTTCCTCATCCTCATCTTCCTCCTCTTCTTCTTCATCTCTTCTTAGCATACTGCGGGAAATCTGCCAAAACAAAAATCCAGCAGAAGTAAATCAAGTGGTTTTTCTCCTCAAAGAAAAACAATTATTTGTTGGCAATTCCAGTCTAGATATTTATAGTTTTTTGTTTAGGGGAGTGCATAAGTTGTTTGTCCCTTAACCCTTCGTAAAGTGCAAGCCAATGAAAAGATACATGGCACAGAATAAAAATACTGTAATGATTTTTAAAAGCTAAAAAAATCCCTGTAGTCATGACAACTATTATAGGATTGGGAAAACTATACTTTGATCCAATTAATGGTAAAAATCAACAAGATGTTTGTTCCTGGGTTGGCTGTTGAGACAGCAGGCTGAAGATGAGTATTAGGGCCTAATCTTATCCTGAAGACATCAGATCTCCAGTTAAAAGTTCAAAACTATGCTGCTCTAGGTTTGTTTTTTTTTGAGAATGAATTAGACAAACTATTAAAAGTCTTCATTCACAGATGAACAACTCTCCCTGCCCATCAGTGCTTGCCCTTCAGAATCATATTAGTCTCCTTTCTTTGGTTTATCAAACATTAAAAACAAGTGGCAGCTGCCAAGCTTTCATCTCATCTGACAGATTCTGCAGTCTGTACTTTTTTCTAATGAGGGTTCAATCTAATTCCTATTGAAGATAGATTCTTCACAGACAATGCAACATTTACAATTTAATGGAGGATATATGGCATTCTTTTTCTTTCCCCATGAGAAAGAGAACATTACTTATCCAAGTCATCTGGAATGCTTTTGAAAAATGATTTCAGGTTCAGCAATTTTTTAAGAGCATCTGCAGCTCTAATTTTGGTTATATTTTCTGTGTTTTCTCACGTACAGTGATATAATAAAACTTCTGTATTGAAGACAGAACTTGCATTTTTTTTAAACAGCCCCCTATTTTAAAAGTCCTTAAATGCTCATTATTAAATTGACTTCTGAGATGTTATAATTCATACAGCCGTGTATGTAATACAAGATTTTTGTGTGTGCATAAAGCAAACTGCAGTCATTGAGCTAACGAAAGCAGAAAAATCTTTAGTCTTGTTGATGCTCAAAAAGTACATAATTTAGCTTCAAGCAAATGCTTACAAATTCCTGAATGTAATAGAAAATGCAGTTAATCATTGGATGAAGCTGGGTTAACTTGAGCTGAAATACCTAAAACAGCAATCTCTCATTCTGTGAAAGAAAAAAAAAGACAATGGCACTGATTTGTAATTAGTGATCAAGGAATGCTGCAGATTGACCTTGTTAAGGTAGTGTCAGTTCAATGGGATAGACCAATTTTCGTGGTTTTTTTCTAGTTAAGAGTATCTCAAATTCTTAAACGGAACTTGCGTCATATTTCTGAAGAAAAACTCCCCCTTCCGCTTCCTGAAATAAGAGGTGTTGCTTTTGGCTTTATGGCATTTTGTGCTCACTACTCAAATATCTCTGACTGTGCTGTAATTACCTAATAGTATGTTAAATATTATCACTGATAGTGGTAAGGAAATTAGGCAGTTTAAATCCACATTATTGTGCCATAGAGCTAGAACATACCAGTACTTGAAAATTTAATTTTTGATTACTTCATGCTGAAAAAATTTAAAATAATAGTAATAAAAAAATCTGATAGTTTGTTGCTCATAAATTATTTTTATGTGAAGATAATTTCTATGAGTTTGCATGTATGTGTGATGACTGTTCTTGCTTAAGCTGTTCAGTTCCATGTTTCACTGCAGGTGTTACTAGAGAAAGCATGGTAATCCTCTCCTCATGTCTTGGGCAGTGGGCAGTTTTGGAGTGTTCAGATGCAGACATTTTCAATAACTGTTAGAATGATACTTTGCTGTCCTAGAGAGTCAGTGCAAAACAGTTTGTTATATTAAGTGCATGTAGATAAAACTTATGTAGTTAAGTTTGATTTAAAATATCTAGAAAATGTAATTTTCTTCTGCTATAGTTGTAAAAGTACAGCATATACCAACTTGAATCAGTAAAACAAAATGATAGGCTAAATTGCCAAGTAAAGTGCAAAATGAAGGAGGTAGCTCTTTGTGAAACAACGTATCAAACTCAAGGACTACTTTAGATTTTTAACATACAAATAATACAGAAAGTTAGTCCACAGAACCAGAAATAAATTCAAGGATGGTATGCCTTAAATCTTCTGAAAGACCTGAACTGTGTTACTGGCACAATTTATCCCATCTGGTATGCAGTGACTTCCCCCATGTCACCCACCTACGGGTTAGTGTTGGCATGTATGTGTCTGTCTGTCCCCCACCCTACAGCCCTAGGCAGAGTGATTCTGTGAACTGCTTACCATATTGTTTATACTGCTTTGCACTGGAAATTGTAAAGTGCTGCCTTACAGTTAGTAAGGGATTACTATGTAGCAGGAAACTAGACTTGTGAAAAATTTGGGAGTGAAAGATCCCCAGAAAAGAGAAAACACGTCACCTGAAGGTTTTTCTGAATACAGCTTTTTTTTTCTCTCATGAGATGTTTGGTGGGTTTCAGAGATTAGAGCCCTTAGTGTAATTCAACAACATGCTGTTTGCAGAATCAGAAAGGGCATATGGGGAGCGTATGGAACAGGCTGCCTGCCCCTTCTTCACTGCCCTATAGTGACTGCATTAGTAGGATGTTCCACCGCTTTTTTTCTGCCATATGATCCTCTACATATACACTGCACAGCCAAGTAAGACGACATTATTTTGAAATGTATTGCAGTTTCCCTCTAGGTCTAGATGACTTCCTGTTCTTTTCAGATATTCCAATAAGATGTTATGAGAACATTAACATCTGAAATTATAACTAAGAGAGAGGTCTAGGTAAACTTGTAAGTTAGTCAAAATGGAGTTCCACTCCATCTCTGGGAGAAATCAGTGTACATACACTCAGTTTCCTGTTGCTTTGGGTTTTTTTCTCTCTCACATTTTCTAAAGTAGCTTGAACACAAAATTTGCTTGTTTGATAGAGAAGACTGGTGGGTTACTCAGAGTCCAGGTTGTATTTCATGCACTGAATCACTGGGTTCTTTTATCTTTTCAGATGACTTAACTCACTTTCAACAGAATAGCTCAACTGTAATAATTGATCCTTTCTGTGTTGCGAAGGTGTAAAGTGTGTATGAAGTCAAGACAACTTCTCCTTATTACAGTATCAATGCATGATTTGAAAGAAGAAAAGTAAAACATGTACATTTTAAATGTGGCTATCTTTGTCTTAGCTGAAACACTGGTAAGAATCATCATAGTTACAGGATTATGGCTGCAATAAAGAAAAAATAATTTAGCCATTTTGCAATGTCTGCAAGTTTACTGATGCAAACAAGCACCAAAGACTATTGCAAGGTAGCTGATCCAAACCCAGTGGCACTGTTTCCATTTGTTTCACTCATTTTTATCATCTTCCTTTTCCTCACCTCCTCTGAATTTTCAGAGTAGAAAGGGAAAAGTTTGTTGGTCATGGGTTTGCTCTGCTGCTACAAGATATCACTAATCTGAGTTAGGATCTGGTAGAGAAGTCACACTCTAGAATCTGATACTGAAACTAAGAAGAAGTGTTATTTAAAGAATGTCACTTCTCTTTCACATAAGCTCCTAGATGTTTTCTCTGCAAGATGCCATAGTTTGTTGATGGAAGAAATAATAATAATGGCCAGTCTTCGCGAACGAAGATTTGGGGAAAGGTCTTTTACCTTTCCAGCCTGCGCAATGGATTTTTTAGGTGAGACACAGCCTGCGCTGAACTGAGCCCACCCTTTAATCCTAAGGTTCATCTGCCGGGGCCAAGCGAGCTTGGACAATGGCAGTGAGGTCCTCAGGACGTAGGTTTGTTTAGAGTGACCTTCTCATAGATGGATGGCCTTACAGGGCTAACGGGCTCCATCTGCCCAGGGGGACTGGGATTCGAACCTGGGTTGCAGCGGTGAGAGTCCTGCATGCTAACCACTAGGCCACCAGGGGTCCCTGATGGAAGAAATAGTATTGCTGGAAATGGCATTTTTCAAAAGTAAGCAACACAGCTTTAAAAGCTGATTTTTTTTCTCTCAAATGATAAAGCTGCATTATTAAGAGCTTAATATGATATTTATGCCCTTGGAATTTTCTGTACCTTTCTGACTGTCGTGAACTGAGTGAAGATAGTGGATCCATGTACATTAGCTAAAATACTATCTTAAGTAGAGCTTTAATACAGTGATTTTATCATTTAATTATGTAATTTTTCTTTCTTACCTGTACTGTCCTCAATGAAGATTTTGAGGAGGCAGTTCTTTGCAGAGGGGACTTGGAATTTGCACGAACTATGTCTAGGCGAGAGTGATAGTCCGATGGATAAAGTGAGCTCCGAAAAACCTGTTGAAATGGAGAAAGCTGCGACTCAGGTACCATGATACAGCTTGCAAGCTAAGAATCACCTAGACTGAAGCTAGCAGAAATGCAGCATTGGACAATGAAACCTGATCTAAAGATATGCATCAACTGTAGTCTGGATTGATCACTTTTAGCTGAAACAACATCGTTTCTCAACCTGAGACACATCAACATACTTATGTGGTCAAAGTAAACATTCTTCAGAGACTTGAGGGCATTTACACATGGAAAACTGCAATGGTTTCTCACCAAGATACGTAGCTGAGTTTCAGGCTAACCTAGAGGTATGAACCCCAGAAACTGCCTTCAGGTTCTCCATTTCTCAGAAAGATGAACTCTTAGCCCCTTCACAAGCAATTCCTTGCTGACAGTCACAGACGCATCAGAAAAATTTTACTTGAGATGTTCGGGAGATGAACAGCTCGAGAAAAATTTGGGAAACCTCTTAGAATACAGAGGAGACTATAACATCCATCATATTTGCAAGTTATTTCCAATAAAGCTATTCATGCAAGACTTTAATAAAGTCAAGGAGATGGCAGATTACGGTCAGTATTTTTATGGAAAGTAAATAATTGTCAACAGGAAATTTAAAGTGAGATTAGAAATTTGGTTGTGAAAGACAAAGTATTGACTTAAAGGATTTTTCTGAATTGGTGCCACATGACATTTTAATTGTGAAACTACAATAGTACAAGATTGCCATGGCATTGTTTAAATGAAGCAAAATTACCGAGTAGTCTCAAATGTGATTGTCACTGAAGAATCATGATTTTTTGTGCCTTGCACTAACTGAATACTTGATCCTGAGCTATGTCATGGACAAAATAAAATCAGGACTGGTGGGATTTACAGAAAAAGACTGAAAATGATCCAACTTCCTTGACAAGCTGAACATATATATATACAACATACATTTCAGTGATACTCAGTTTAAAGGCCCAACATCCAGAAGAACAGCAAGAATGAAAAAAGGACTGAAAAGCAAGTCTTGGGACAGAGAGACTATAACTCAATAGAGAAGAAAGGGTGACTTGAAGCTGTAACTGCCACAAGACAAAAAAACCCCAGTAGATTTTTTAATGCAGTAATTAGTCTTTAGATCATCTGATTAGAGCAGTGTAGGATTTTCTCTATGCACATCTTTACAGCAAGATTCACTGCAGAGGTGTTCTTTAAGAACTGTGATTACCTGAGCTTGGAGTCGCAGGTAATTTCAGAAAAATCTCTTATCTGTGTTTTGTGGGAAAGATTAGATTGCCACCGCAATTGTTCTCTGTTTGTTTGGGTTCTCTGAGATTATAAACGTGTATGCTCTTGCTGGAGAAGTGCAAAAAAAGGCTTGATATACATAATAAGTTTGTTCTGGGAACCTGAAATGTATGTTGCATTTTTCTGCCTGGGACATGTATGGCCCAAGTGTGAAAACTATTTTTAGGTAGGAAGTATACTGAAAAGCAAATCTTCATCACTCTTACCTCCAAATCTTCACTTTCATCAATATTTTGAATATTTTGGTAGGCAGCAGTATATATCTCTAAAGCTTTCCCATGGAACAACATTTCAATAGTTATAAATTCAGAAAAGATGTTCTAAAAGCAAATGAAAACAAAGATTTTCTTAATCCAATAAAGTACATTTCCACTTCAAAAAATTATTGAGTTCTGTACTTGGTAGTTCTATGATACAAATAACTGCACAATACTTAGTACTTTTAAGTAGTCAGACCTGAATTTTAGAAATTAAACATAAATGCTGGCTGGGCTATCACTTATGCAGTTGTTATTATTTCAATATAAATTCTAAGTAAATGTTTGAAAAGCAAGAGGAGACTCGTTAGGAATAACATCATGGTGAAAAGTCACTTGATAATCCCCAGTATGTATTTACAAGATGTAGTCGGTGGATTTTTGCTTTATTGAAGACAATCTTTTATAACAGGTTGGGGGTAAGTTATCTGTACATTCTATACCTATCTATAATTTACAAATAATTATATATTTACATAATAAAGTATTCTTTATATATTGAACCCCCCCTCAATTATGACAACTTCAGAAATCACAGTCTTTTTCATACTACTCCAATATCAAGTACTGGTTGGTTTGGTTGGGTTTTTCAACCATCTTTCATTCTTTCCTGTTTAGACTGTCTGTCTGTCTCCTCCCCCCCGCCCCAAAAAAATGACTAAAGCAATTTTATAATTAAATGAGATCACATAATGCAAGTGTTTTTCAGTCACTGTAGTCTTTGGGACTTGCGCCACTTAATGTTTGACATTAAGAGAGAAATTAAAGCTTTCATTGCTTGCAGTCACTGAACATTTTGTGCTTTTTGCATCAGTAAAACTTTTAACTGCAGTAACATAACACATACTTCAGCATGGATAAATATATTATTTACTTATCACTATTTCTGTTAATTCTGCCGATATTAATCCACATATATAATTCCACTAACAAATACAGCTACTAGTGAAGTAGAATACAGCAACTCTTGAAGGTGCAGACACTAAGCAACTGGAGACAGGAAAATTTTCAATTCCAAAAACTGTAAGAATAATGAACTGATTTTTTAATTTCAGATTTCCTCATATTTGGATTATGTACGTTCCTGTGTAACCTGCTCTAGGTGACCCTGTCTTGGCAGGGGAGTTGGACTTGATGATCTCCAGAGGTCCCTTCCAACCCTAACAATTCTGTGATTCTGAAATATTCATGAATACCACAAGATTTGCATTTAAGTGAATATTAAATGTTGCTAATCTTGCCCAAGACTTAACTATAGTAATTTTATTGTGCAAGATATAATTGATATACTGAAATGTAAGCACACATACTTTGATGTCCTTTATCTTCTGTTTCTCGAAATTATCAATAGTTTCCTCTAATTGCCGCGTTGTTCGAGTAGCATCCAGTGTTGCTCTCTGCAGTTCACTTTCAGCCTGGTAAAGTAACACAGAGGTGAAATTAGTCTTGTATTTGATACAAAGCTATTTGCTCCAATTGCCATGAAAACATTGAAGTCTGGGTTTTCAAAACACTACATATCTATGTTACAGTATTTGTAAATCCGTTACTTAATAAACATATAAAGATGCCTCCTACACTGTTGTGACTTTGATGTGAAACATGAAAAATGAACAGCTGCGGCCAGTCAGGAAGGTCCCTCTGTCCTGATCCATTTTCTGTAATAATCATCTGATAATTTCACTGAGCCAGCCCTGACACTCCACTGACAACACAGAGACTGGGTCCAGGTACTTAACCCAGCACAAAGGTTTACCCTTCAGAAAAGTTCTTGTTTGTTTTGTTTATTTTTTAAGCTTGCGCAAAGGAGAAGGCAGGAGTGCACATGCCAGTGCGGTGGATGAGCAGAAAAGATCATCCTTGTTTTCAAGTGCAGATCAACCTGCTGGGTCCTTAAGGAATCTCTTCCAGTGTCCTGTGCTGAACCTCATTTTACTAAGTTTTTATATATTATTTAAATAGACAATTAGAGCAGCAGCTGAAATTAATGCATTTATCCTGTAAATATCTCAATCTGCAGGCTAGAGTTGTTATAATTTCTGGATCCAAGAGCATTTCAGGTATTTCATATTTTTAGTATTTTTGTATTATTAAAATATTTTATAGTAAACGTCTTCAACAGGGCACTGAGATGGGGACACATCAACCAATCCCTAACACATAAATACACAGTTTTCCTTATTTTGTTACTACAAAAAGCATTTAGATAGTTTTTTGATTACATATAATTATGAACTTTATAAAAATGCACACTACCATTTAAATAAAGATCTTGAAACTGTTCTGGTTATGTCAAGTCTGAGAACTGTGTACTACTACAAAATAATGATGTACAGATGTAAGAGCTTGCACTTGAAGACTACAAAATTTGGATCTAAACTTATGTAATTTTCCATAGATTACTGGTCAAACATCATATACTAGTGACACAGGCTCACTCAGTGAGTATCATCACAAATCTATTTTGTGCTGAGATTTGAAAATAGGACATGGATCAAGTATTGTCTACGATCAAGTTGTAGGATTCTTCCCATATCTAAAAAACTGCAACTTAAGAGAGGAAATTTTTTTTAAATAGGCACCACAGGTCCAGTTCCTGTGATCTAGTTTTTAGTGTCACACATATGGAAACCTAAGGCATAAGGTATGCTCGGTTGACTTCTTTGATTATAATCTGATAACCTTGTATTACAGGATTATCAAATTGAAACAATCTTTCAAAAACAGCTTAAAGTCACAGACACAACTCTGCCACCATTACTGGGCAAAAAAAATTGGTAACAATGTTTAGTGGTACATAAGGTCACCTGTTCACCTCTCTCTCTTGATTTTGCCCAAAACACGGGAGGGTAACAGAGTAAGAAAATACATTTTGTGTATTAGTTCAATCAGTTACTCCCTGTAAGTGAAGGCAGCATAAGCTGCATAAGCAGCCATTACACATACAAATACAGTATGTTATTTCTATGATAATCAAATACATCTTCTCAATACATCTTAAATAGACTGGCCAGATTTTTGTGCGCAGATGCTTTGGGAAAGGAATTATCTCTGTTGTAGAGTGAAATGTCTAAAGTCACAGAGCGTCCGTAGTTTGCATAACAGCAGTTTGATATTTTCTCTTCTAAACACTCACCTGTGACTGGAAATACTAGTGAAGGAAAAAATGGCAACGTAACAACCAATATTCATTAAGGTATGCATTTTCACTTCTATTTTTAATATGCTGTGAACTATTTACCTTAGTTATTTCAAAACTTCTATATACTTAGTGCTACTATTATGTTGTTTGAAGCTTCTGGCTCTAAGACATTACAGTTTGTTACAGCTTTGCTAGAATTCAAGTATCCAGACCAAAACATTTCCGGACAGCTGTTTGTCTGGGACTGAGGATTTGGTTAATTATTTAAAAAAAAAAAAAAAAAGAAAAATTAAACAAACTAGGTAGACTATTTCAGGGGAAAAAATTGATTAAAAAATGTATTTTTATATTTTTAAAAATTTGGTAATGTTTTCTTTTCAAAGCTGTACTACCCCCCCACCCCCGCCCCCATTTTGTAAGATGGGAGTGAATACAGATCCTTTGCTATCTGGGGCCAAAGTTGTTTGCTGCTGCAACTTCATAGTTGCTCGACCATAAGAGAAGCATTGCAGGAGCCCAACTACTGTGCTCCAACGTCGTGAAGCCTCTCTCAGACCTGAAAGCTGACCTGCACACATCCCCAAAAGCAAATGAACATATTCCTGCTCCTAATACCTTTTCATGCATTTTGTGTCAATCACTTTAAAATGCAAATACAGAGTGTTTGGTGCCTTTGGCCATATGCAAAAGCAGACTGTACTGAGATTTTATAACTCTTCAGGCAAAGCCTTAACTATAGAAAACACAGGTGTTACAAGAAGCTAAGCCACAGAAGTGTGTTTGTGACAAGCTTAGCAAACAGCTAAGAAGAAATTAACTAGGTGCCGGTGACATTCCCATGAAAAAACTACTGCTTAAGAGGGAGAAAAATGGGACCAGTGTCCCTTTGGGGAGAAAGCTTACTGTTACAGTTTACTCTCCTAATTCCAACAGAAGAGAACTTTGCATCACAGCTCAAGTTCTAACTATATAGCTGACATGCATCTGTCTTTATTACAGAAGGCATTCAAATTAGTTATTACTTGATCTAACTGATCTGATTAATATTAGATGTGAATTCTTTGGCGGACACAAAAATAAAATGTAGTTCTCCTGTGTGGCACTTGACCATCACAATCATTTTTGCTTTCTACACTCCCATGCCCCAGTCACTAAAGGTCCTAGTTTCTGAAATAAAGTTGATAAAATCCAACTAAGAACAGGACTGCTTAACTCCTGAGTCCAGGACTAGAGTGTAATAAAAAGTAAACAGCACGTCATCATGAACTTAAATGCTTTATCGTAATATGTAGGCATAAAGGGGCTGAAGTAGGATTGCCTTGATCATCTTTGTTTTGGCATTTCCTATATTCTAATTGCTTCAGAATTTGAGACTTCAGTGAGATTTTAATGGAAATTCTGTGGGGGCTTAATTTTTCCCTCTGATACAGAATAGTGTACTGGGGAAGGTGACTGGTCTTTGGAAAGGAAAAGTAGTCTAGTTGAGTATTCTACTAACAGATTAACAACTTTTCCTTTCACACTTCATGCAGTTGGAGGAAACTCATACCCCATCTACATCCAAGGAAACACAACAACTACCAAAATGACAGGAAGAAAAACAATAAAACAAGAAATCCACAGAAATAAAAAAGTTGTCTGATTACACTTATTTTCAAAAACTTCCAAATTCCTAGATGTAAACTATGCCTACCTCTCTTGTGTAAACATGGCAAATAATTAATCGTTTCTGTTCAATTAAAAAAGAAGTAACAAAGCAGCTATTATAAGCTGTAACTTATCATAAAGTTTAAGAAATGATTTGACATTGAAGAAAATCCCTCTAAGGAGACTTATTGCTACTACTACTTTCTTACTGCTTTGTAAACACAATAGTTTAATTCCCAAGAAATTTTAAAAATATTTCTCATAGTGACTAGAAAAATAGGATACAATAATGTGTAGATCTGATGGATTCCGCTGACGTGTCTTTTCCAGTTGAGATAATTGCTTGGCTTCTCGGTTCTTTGCTGTTAAAGTTGCTTTAAGATCATCCTGGAAATAAAAATGTTTTAGACATGTTTAAAATGAAACTAGGATAATACAAAATACACTTCCCTTCATACATGCATTGCCTAGAAAACGGACAAAACTTCTGCTTTAAACAAAACCAGATTTTACAGATCTTATCCTGTTAATTGATCCTCTGAAAGAGAAGTCAGTGGGAACCAAGGGAGTGTTGCACAATCCCTACCTTGCACAGCTCCCTATAGCATGCACTGTAATTTAAAATGTGGGGAAGAAAAATATATTCACAGCTTTTCATGACAAGTATAGCAGATGGTCAAAAGCTGAGATCCCCAAAGCAGTAAGAAGGCAGGCCCATTCCTGACTTAGAAACAGAATAAAGGTGGCATTTAGAAATAAAAAGTGGCATCAAATATATCAGTAAGAAAAATAACAAAGCAGGAAGCAGCCAGTACCAGTCAGAAGTTATGAAGAAAACATAACTGCTGTCACCTGTCCAGAGGACAGCAGAACTGGTGAAGAGTCTGGAGTACAAGTTTGATGAGGAGCGGCTGAGGGATCTGGGTGTGTTCAGGTTGGAAAAAAGGAGGCTCGGGGGGAACCTTATCAGTCTCTACAGCTCCCTGAAAGGAGGTTGTAGCCAGGTTGGGGGTTGGTATCTTCTCCCAGGCAACGAGTGACAGGATGAGAGGACACAGTCTTAAGCTGCACCAGGAGAGATTTAGATTAAATAATAGAAAAATTTTTTTCACTGAAGGGGTGGTCAGTTATTGCAATAGGCTATCCAGGGAAATGGTACAATCACCATTCCTGGAAGTGTTCACAAAAGATGTGGATACAGCACCAGGGGACATGGTTCAGTGGTGAACATGATAGTGCTGGGCTAACAGTTGGATGATCTTAGAGGTCTTTTTCAACCTTAACAACTTCATAATTCTGTGCTACACAGATTTGAAGGTACCATATAAAATCTATGGCTGAAAGGGTTGAACTGCATATTTTTATATATGCAGTTAGTAAGGTGTTTAAAACCATTTGAAACAAAACACATCCTACTAATGATGTAGCTGGAGAAGATGAAACTTACTGATTTAGAAAAGGCAGAAACTGCTGATAAATATTTTTGCTCCTCATTTCCAAAGGAGAAGTACGTCTAGGAAAACCTGTGACAATTTAAGCATGTTTACCTACCAGTCTTGAATTTTTGTTCATGCCATAAAACTGTGTTTTGCAGAGTGTTTGGCATTCATAGGATCTAAGATTATCAGTCAGATATTTATCGCTTCCCTGACCCTGGTATCAGAAATAACATACACTTTGATGGCTTCAATTTAAAGGAGCAGTAGTTTAGAACAAGAAGAAATACAGCCAGAAATCTTAACAAAATCTGAACCAGAAGTTGGGTATACATTTCAAACCATTCTTTTCTCATTTATCTACTACTTCAGAATGGAGGGAATTAGGGCTATTAGAAACTATTGTATTGGGAATTTGTCTGTGCTCCTTCCTTGCATTTCAGAATTTTAATATGCTTGTATGTCTCCTTTACCCAGAAGGATATGCAACTTAGGATGTGTCTTTCAGCAGGTTTTGTAACCCTGTGACCAGATCACTTGTCAGTGACACAGATGCACAAGTGTACCAAGTTTCACAGTGCTGTGTTCCTTCAATAATGAGTCTGTACATGAGGTCAGGGTCAAAAAACGCAGTTTCTTCCTTGTTTCTATCTTTACTGTCTGTCTGTATGTCCTTGCGTATGACTCATTTTGCTTCTCCTTTAGGGGGACAAAGCTGGTTTCTGATAATAAAAACTATTGCATCTTTAGCCTATCAAAACTAATTTTACTGCTGTTCTTTCAGAAGGGAATTTACACCACCTTTAAGGTCATCCAAAACACTGCTGGAAAGGGCTTTTCCCTTTATCAAAACCATGACGCTATAAGAAAAGCAATAATAGATTTTTTTTTTATTGTTTTATTGGTTTGAGTTTAAAATTTTAAAGGTAGAGAAAGAGAACAATTATTTATTTTTGGAACAGAACAAAACAGATTTGTATCTAATGTTCACAGCTGCATGTTTAGTGTTATTTAATGACTAAGTCCTGTTAACAGTACTGACTTCTAGGCCCATCTAAAACAGTCAATCAGATTTAAAGCTGTGGCTAAAAGGGTTCTGACTTGCATGCAGAGTGTACTTGAGGATGCAAAGTTCTAGAGTTGTTATAAAATTTCAGTATGTTCTTTCTAGCATGTCATGACTTTGGAAATACAGTTCCCTCTTCTACCTCTGTTTTCTGTAGCATCAGGCACCATGAAACATACTTCTCTACTAACCAATGCCTGATAAAGAATTAGTGCTACTGTGGCTATAGTAGTGAAGCTATACACAAGTTTTGGATGTACAAAGACAGGGCACAGTTACATGCATATTTTGTCTAATATGTTGAAAAACTGAAAAGGGTGCAGAAAAAAACCCTGTAAAAATATTAAAAAGCTGGGGAAAATGTGATTATGGTGAAAGAATCAAGGTGTACATTATTACCTAAGAGAAAAAAAATGAAAGACTGGTTTTACTACCTTCATCCAGAAAAAAACAGAGCACTACAGAGCTCTTTCATCTCAGTGGAACATATAACAAGAACCAGAGATTAGAAGTCTTTCATTTAAAACAATACACCACAAACTCACCACCTACTACAACAAACAGTCCTACATTCCCCTTCAGTGTCTTCAGACCAAGCTTTGACATATTTTTGGAAAATATGCTTTAATTACACTCGAGGAGAAATGGAATGGAATAGGCAACAAGTCAAAGGACAGGTAGAGAGAACAGAAAATTATTCATAGTCCCTCTGGTTTTTAACTATGAATTCAAGTCACATGTAAGAACACTGGTCACCCATCTAATTTCAAGCCATAGAAAAGTACAGCTACAGTCCGTCCACCAGACATTGAGCTGACAGAGCCTCATCACTGTACTGTTACCTGCTTCAGTCACTGAAGTTATTAAAGCAAACCAATCCTTTCTTCCGCACGTGGATCACCTTGGTTTTATGATGTCCTGTTTTATATGAAGAAAAGGAGCCAGGAACAGAGTTGCCAAAAAGCAGAAAAGTGAAGATTGATATACAGAACAATGAAACAGAAAGAAATCCTAAAATCCTACATTTAAGGTACATTACAGAACATTATATTAATGTCCACTGAAGCTATTTGGCATCATAAACCGGAACAAGTGAATGAAACAATTTTATTGCATTAGCAGTTAAAGGACAACACTACTCTGATTATCTGGGCCTCTTTAAAGCATTTAGTAGCACAGGACACTGATGTCTTATGCCACAGAAATAGCAACAGTCCTTTTTAGATAAAGCACAGAAGTACTCTTGTGTACATCCTGGAACAGTTCCAATAAGTAAGTAGCAGTGAGAACATTCCCTTTATAGAAAGTGCCATAATGACATGTTCTAACAGGTTTTACTTAGCTAAGGTAGTTACAGGTAAAGCAGTCCTACACCTTGTGCTAAATTTAAGAGTCACAAAACTTTCTTTTTCACTAAAGATGTCCCAGTGTTTAGAGATGATAACTGAAAACCAGACAGTTGAAATTTTAGCCACAGTTTACTGTTAATGTGCAATGGGGAAAAAATAACCATTTAATGGCCTACATCTTTAGCAAAATCTTAGTTCAAAGGTGTGTTGACAAAAATAGTTAATCCCACCTACAGTTTAAGAATACTCTAGTACTCCTCACTGTAGCTGAAATAAACATTATGCAATGCTTTCTGGCATTCTGAAAGGCAAAGACAACAGGAAATGCCATTCACTGTTGCAAGGGATGACTTGGTTTCAGTTGCTTCTGTCCTCAGCATTACTGGCTATCAGTGGCAATGCACCTCAAGAGACAGTCCCTTCAATGCTTTGCAAACCCCAGGCACTGCTGTAGTGCTCTGTGTCTCCTCAGCAACCATACTGCCACGAACACATGAAGCTTGTCTTCCACTCTCAACATTTATATCCCATGGAATACTCAGTTCTAGATCTCACAAACTGGGTTTTATAATGACTATTAGGATACCAGATTCTAGCCTCTATAGTCTACAACTCTGCTAAGGACCACCATGTGTAATCCCACTCAAGTGCAGGATGCATTTCCTTCACAATTGTTTCTCCAACCTCCAAGTGAGGTAGCTGTGCGGTAAGTTCCACACACCGTACTCGGTTCTTCACCATATGGAAAAGATACAGAACAAAAACATATGAAAAATGCTAGTTTGAGATGCAATGCCACAACATACTCAAATTAACCATGATGAACACACTGTAAGATTTTAGTATGTAAAATATCATCAAAGAATAATAATTTAATATTTTGATTTATATAGACTATGATACAGATATACATCAATTACAGATTTGAGTTTACAGGACTAGGGTATTCTCTGTGTAATATACAAGTATTACAAAGATCTACTTTTGTCCTATAAACTAGTATCTGCTTATTGAAAGTTACTTGCTCAAGCTTATCCCTCCTGGAGGAAAGAAACTTTCAGATATTTTAAGGGAACATTTCAAACCCCTATAAACACTGTTTCTAAAATATAGTGAATGAAGAGACCTCAGATTTTTGTGTATCTTCAGGTCATCATGATGACTTAATAGGACAGAGAGGGATTTAGGTCACTACCTATATATCAGTTTCAAATGTGTCTTCTAAATTATGAACTTTAATGTAGAATGGAATTCTGAGTTAGAAAAGCTGCTAAAAGCAGCATATTGATGACTAAGAGGCAAAAGCATTACATATAATTCACTTTTTGGAAATCTGAATAATAGTGGTAATCATCATAATCATAATAATAAAAACAACCCTAACAATAATAAATGACACTATCCAAGAAGTTTCACATTACCCACAATGCCTTTTTTTTAGCATTTGCTTGTGCTCAAAGAGCCTGAATATCCTTGTCTTCACACTAAAGCTTCTTTCTCCAACATATATATAGCTTCAATTTAGATGTATTACTACATAATTAAGTTAGACTGATTATTGCAATATAAAATATCAGAACCATTCACCCCCTACAGCAGAAGTTTTCAACTGAGCGGCCAGAACACTGACATGTACCTTGTGAGAAAACAGATGCTTAACCTACCCTTTTAAGTTTCACTATGGTCCCGTAACATTTCAGAGGTTCAACAACCTTGGCTTCAAGCCTGTCGACCTACAAAAGAAATCACAAGGCCACTAGAATCATCCATATCTATGGTGTGCAGAAACAGGAAACAATTAATAGTGACTCATCTTATTAGGAATTAGTCCATATATGCTGAAAAAATAATGGGATAATTTTAAAAATAGTGTAAAAACTATAGTCAAGTACATTAGCCAATAAGCAATTTTGTATTTTGAGGAGATCAAGCTGATTTCTAGTGGAATTACTTTTTTCTTAATTAGAAATACATCAGGATAAATGAAACACTGAGATTCTAACAACTGAGTACTAAATACATCAAACACTGCATCTTGGAGATCTGTAACTTTCTATCTAAAGATCAATGTTTTGCTCTACACTTACTGATAGATTATGGATTAAGCCATCTTTGCTAACAAATATATTGTACAAAATGTAACACCTCTTAAAAATAATGGAAACAGCATCGTTGGTACTGAATGCACTAAAAATATCAATAACAGGGTGTGTAAAAGGCACGAATGCTCTCACAGGTGAGTGCATCTGAATTTTTGTTTCAGTTCTCCTACTTAGAAAAACAGCTACATATGGTCAGGCAGGTAATAGGATAAGACCTGCTCGTCAAACCTGACAACGCTGTCCAAGCAGCACCAGCATAAGCTGCCAATGACTTATGGACCAGTGAGTCATCTGGCCCACTGCTCGGCCAGATGGGCCAGATTAGGACAAGGTGCGTACCTCTATTAGGAACGTACAGTTTCCTCTAAACTGGGCTAAAATTTATGCCAACTGAGCAAATGTTTTTCCTTTATACACTCTACCAGTGCACTGTCAAACAATTTCACTTGAACTGCCAATAAAATAGAAAGGATTAGGGCAGTAAGGCTCTGAATGAAGTGCATGTTACTTTGGTCTCTTTTTTGAATTATAGTGGGTCTTAGCTGTTCAAAACTATAAATAGTAATTTTCTACACTCTACTGAAAGTATAGATACATACTCCAAAAACTAGTTTGAGTCCATGTGAATGAATTTATTTTGTCTTAAATCGCAGTATTTGGAATTCTGCATCACACGTTACAGTTTGACTGGCCCTGCAGATAGATGTGTAAGTGGCATAAACACCTTCCTTTACACTCTCACTCATCTAGCAGACATGCAACTATATAGTCAAACATTGTCCAAATCAAGTTTGTACTTTGAGTGTTAAACTACAAACTTAAGAAATCTACAGTGGTCCCTGACAGCATCTCAGTGGGGCTACCAGTGCCCATTCTCTTCCATACTATTTCTGATGAGACTCAACAAAAGGAAAATGACTGATTTTACCTCAGCTGCTGCCAGACAACTCAAGTCACACAAATAAAAAGAACACTTCATTAACCATAAATCACAATCCAAAGTCTAAGACCATTAAAAAACTTGCTCTATCTCAAATACTTTGAGTGCTCATAGGGATAGTTTAGCTGACTTCAACAGGACTAATTGCAGGCAGTTTTCATTAGTTGTTAGGGGGGTAAGTGATGAATACTTTGGCAGCCTACCCTGCTCAGACACTAATATATTTAGAAATGTTTTCTCCTATGTTTTCTTGTGATTGCAGAGTATATATTTCCCCTTTTAATCAAAGAGAAGTAACTGAAAAGTTCAGATGGCAAACACAACATGTACAGCTTTAATTCTGTACCTCTGCCTGGCGATAATCCTGAAGTCTGGCAAATTCATCTGCAAAGTTTTTCAGTCCAACTTTTAAGTTTGGTGTCTCTGTAGCTGCATATGCATATATTTCATTTACTAGAAGATCTGCTTTGTCTCGTAATCTGGCAGTTTTACGTACATATCCAGCAAATATTTGGCACAATTCACCAAAATGTTTTTCCACATTTGAAACAGCATCTTGTATTTGTCGAGTCTGATTGTCCCTGGATACCAAAGAAAAATAAGTGAAAAATAAGAAGGGCACAAATCAGTGCAAAACAGAAATTTATTTTTAAAAAGAGAATGTTGTAACAGTCTGATGTACTATGTGCTTATTTCTGAACGAATAACAAATGAACTACAAAAAAAAGCAGGATTTACACTTAAAGATCCAAGAGAGGAAACCCCAAATCACAAAAATCTGCTTGGAAGTTTTCTTACTGTATTTAAGCAAAAGCTCACTATTACTATTGGTATTACTACTAACACAGTGGTAACACCTGAAGTCTCAATCAAGACCTTCCCAAGACTGCTTCCTGCACGAGTCTGCAAGCTAAACTGGCAAGTCAATGGCTGCAGAAATTAGGCAGCAGAGGTATTAAATGTTTTTTAAATCATGAACAGGTACCAATCTGCTCCTGGTCAGCAGTACGAAGGATAAATATTGCTGAGAATTAAAGAAGAAAAGTGAATGGACACAAGTACAGAGGTGAACACTCTGTACCACTGAAAGAACATTCATTACACTAATAAATTGTTTTCTTTTAAATTACATAAATCTAATTAATTTATTTGATCCAAATGCCTGTGTGTTTCATTATTAATGATCTAGATAAGTCATTCCAATAATTCATGTATTTCACTTTGTATTTTGCTTTCATATTCCTATATCACTTGTTGGTTGTGTGAATTCATGCCAGTTTTTGTTGACAGATTGAGTCAGCTATAAGACAATTTAGCTAACAGTATCTTCCACATACTGGGTCCTAAGAAGTCTCCACAGTCTAGGACAAGACTATTCATGTGAAGTGCTTGAATTCTCAGCAAGAGAATTCACAGCAAGAGAATTCACTCATACCACTATCTTGGCAAGGGGCAGAAACAAAAACTTCCTTCATATCCTTAAACTACCCCAATATTGCTGACCAATATTTAAATACTGACTTCCTATCGGGACACGCGAAGATCAGAAAAACTGGAAGAAATGCAGTATTTTGTGAATGAACAATAATGCAATCAATTCAAGCAAGGAACACTTTTACTTCAGGAAAAGTATTTCAGGCCAAAGTTACACTATGGGCAAAATCCCAGTTGCATTGCTTCATGGCAAGCAGTCTAGAGGACTGTTAAAAAACGATGTTATTAAAGGAAAAAAAATCCTAATAAGTTATTCAGTCCTCCAGAACATGCTGGAGCACAGAATCATTTGAATAGTAAAGGTTTCACCCAGTGAGTGGGAAAGTAAGAATTTCATGAAGTACTAACAAAGTTAGTTTTCAAAATTAATACTACCTGATAAGATCTTCAGTTAAAGGTACATCCTATTTTCTTGGAAGGTCTTCATGTCAGAAAATTCCCCTCCCAAGGGGAAGCCTTAAGCACGTTTCCTCACCCTCTTTACAATTCAGATCTCACAAGACTCCCATGCAACTAGTATTTAATGTGGAGACAAGAAACACTGCATTTACTTATATGGGGGTGTAAAAATTTTTATTTCCCCGTCATTATTCATGATGGCTTAGAGTTGGCCACAAAATTATCTGCGAGAGGCCCAAATAAATATCGGCACACCTTTACTTAATCTCTGCAAAGCACATTAAGGCTAGAAAAGTTTTGCGGCCTTTACCGGAGGAAGGCAGAGTCGGCCCCACCGCACGGGGTGGGCCGATGCGCTAAGGGGGACTGGGCCCGCATCGGCCTCCGACCGCCGCGCCATCCCCCGGTGCCCTGCCCGCGGCCAGGCCTCCTCCCCCGCAACACCCCGGGCTCCCTCGGGCCTCCCGCCCCGTACCTGGCGTCCAGCCCGCGGCCCAGCAGCATCATGATGGCGGTGGCGGTGGGAGCGGCGGCGGCGGCCCGGCGGGAAGCAGGGAAGGAGGGAAGGAGGCGGCGCTCGGCTTGCGCTCTGTTTCCATGGACACCGCCCGCCGCCTGCGGGACGGGCTGCGGCAGCTCCGCCCCCGGGAGGTGCCGTGAGGGAAGTCACGGGATCAGAGAATCCGTTAGTTTGGAAAAGACCTCTGAGGTCGTGGAGTCCAGCCTGCGGCCGAACGCTACCATGTCAGCTAGACCATGGTTCTAAGTGCCACGTCCAGTCTTTCCTTAAACACCTCCAGAGACGGCGACTCCACCACTTCTCTGGGCAGCCCATTCCAATGCCTAATCACCCTTTCTGTAAGAAGTTCGTCCTAATGTCCAACCTAAACATCCCCTGGCACAGCTTAAGACCGTTTCCTCTCGTCCTGTCACTCGTCGGAGAAGAGACCGACCTCCGCCCCGCAACACCCTCCCTTCAGGTAGTTGTACAGAGCATCAAGGCTGACAGAGTTCAAGAAGCTTTTGGATGATACTCTCAGGCACATGGCGTGGCTCTTGGGAATAATCCTGTGCAGAGCTAAGGTTTGGACTCGATGATCCATGTGGGTCCCAACTGGGGATATTCTGTGATCCCTGGGGGAAACAACTAGTGACCGGACTTGTCCAGGTGCTCCAGGTGACCCTCAAGGTGTGCAGAGCCCCACACCTGAGCCTGGCCCAAGGGCAAGGACTGAGTCTGTGCCAGGACAAGTGCAGCACCAAGGCCTGGACTGGTGCAGGAGCAGAAAACCAGAAGGCTCAAGCCTGTCTCACAAAAAAAAAAAGAAGTCTAGCCTTGGCAAGTGACAAGCAGTACCAGGGTATGTAGCCCACAGGTCTTCCACCTGAGGAAGAGCTGCTGAGGTTGGGCAGCCATTGGAAAGGTCTTTAAAAAAAAAAAAAGAAAAGAAAAAACAAAAATAAAAACCTTAAAGAAAAACCCCAACCCCCCTCCCTGTAGAGGTAATGTATTGGTAATGTGACTTTGTGACTGTGTGGGCATGAGCCGGTATCAGAGTCCCTGCAGGTGCTGTGTGAGACTAACGCAGAAAAGGCTTTTAAAGGAGGAAGGAGGGAATTGTGCTGTGTTCAACACAAACCCACCCGAAATCACAGCAGTCCACGAGAGCTAAGGACTTGGACAACTGTTAGGACACTGTCACAGAGGTACAAGACAACAACTTCACTCAGGTAACAAAGTCAAACTTTAATTCGCAACTAAGTACAATGGCCAAAACTAGTGAACAAGGTGGGTAATGATGGTGCTCCCATGGCATCTGTCAGATTACAGGTTCGGTGTACCTGTCAGGGTTATTTTACTACACAAAGTGTGCACACACACACACATGCACATGAAGCCTCTCACTCAAAAGGTACCCAAAAAATCCAAGGATTGAAGGATCACTCAGGTATATCTAGTGGGAAAATAATCACTCACCCAGAAGAGAGGGGTAAGACACTCAGCCCTTTTAAGTCTTTTTGGGCTGGCTTCCCAGCTCTTAGAGGAGGGCTTCTCCTCACAGGCCCACTGTTCCAAGGAAAATCACATGCAGGGGGTGTCCGGCAGGGCCCCCACGGATAACCTGTCAGGTCAGGGCCCCTGGTCATACCTGGTCATGGGCCAGAAATATTTCTGGGCCAAGGTCCCCACTGGCTGAGGACCCTGTTGACCAAGACATTCTGTTCTCATTCCCACCATGGAGGGGTCTGTGAAAATGAGGGCACGAAAGGTTGGTCATCTCCACGTGTCAGCTGGGGGGGAAGGTGGGTGCTATTACCACACATGCATGAGAAAATCTGGTAGGCTTGCCTGAGCATATGAATAGAAACTGATTTAGTTAAGATTTGGTTTCAAACTTTTTATCATATTTTTCTACTGAAAGTAGATTATTTAGATCACTTAAACCAAAGCTTTAACTCACATAACGCAAAATACTCTTCAAATAATAATGACCTATTTAATGGTTTGCACCAACTTAAGCTAAAACAAAATGTTGCCATTTTTCCTTAGGCAAGTTTGTGAAAGCAATGGTAAAACTCACCCCAAAGGTATGCAGCCCTTATGGACTTGGCAGGCTAATACATCTAAGTCCAAAATGTCTTTCAGAGGATGCAAGGGTGAGAGATCAAGCCAACTGGAGGTCTTAATTTCTCTCAATTGCAGGCTTGAAATGAGAGGCTACAATGTATATTGTTAACCATTTTTTAATAATTTAATAAATAAGTTAAATGACCTAGCAAATAATGATGTCACTATTATTAATGTGCAATCCTGTAATTCCCCACACTGTAGCAAGATCTGAGTTTATTACTCTTAGATCTTACTCATTACGCACAACTACCACTGAATTACAACTCTATCACTCATCTCTCTACCACATCTCATTGCTTGTTATCAGGGTGCAGTACAATATATGTCTGGATGGTTTTTTTAGGTTAGATTTTTTTCCCTTCAGAAATATCTCCCAAATTCCCCTTCAGTTATGTAGTTCCTACTGTCTGCACATTGTTTACCCTTCACATTTTCTGAGACATACCATTCAATTTTAGTCTTTTCTGTACTTTGTTCCAATTAAGTCTAAACACTTTATCCTATATGCAAACAGTTGACATACCAGAGCAAGGCTTATCCTGTTAAATATGGTTGTTGTCTTTTTTTTCCCCCACTGTTTTTGTACTCGTATAGCATCCTGCTCTTAAGAGTTTAATTACAAATCATTACCCTTGACATGTTCTTTGGACAATCTCTTGGTCTCCTGAGGTGGTCTTGTCTCTTCACAGGGACCTGTACTCCAGCAGGACCTCTCACTCACAAGTTTTAAGAGCTCTGAAAGTTGAAAATATCTATTCTGCTATTTAGAGCATGTTTAGACTTGGTCACCCAGCAAAGCAAGTTCCAGAATAGCTAGAAATTCTTAATAAACAGTAGAATGGTGTTGTATGAGGTGCTATACAAACTTGTAGGAAGTACAGGGTTATTGACTTCAAATTATGGGCCAATGAGAAACAGAGACTGACACTTAATGAGAAGCTGAAAGACTGAAAATAAGGAGAAGTTACTTGTGACTAAAATCAAATAAGTAGTTGTTATTGTAACAAGACACAAAAGAGGAATCACAGCTCATATTCAGTTACTTAAAACTAAATCTGCTTCAGTCTTGAATTATAGTACATGGCATAGACATTAAAAATCTTATTTTGTGTATGCTCATATCACACATGGTTTGACTTAATAATTCTTCATATGATGCTATAGATAGTCCTGGAATATGTGGCCCACCAGCTCCAGCTGCACATAGAAAGTTGAAAATAATGTCATGAGGGCCTGTTGAAATATTGAGTCATCAGAAAGTGTACAAGAGCACAAGCTGCATAAATCATAGAGTGGAAAAATATTTTTGTACTGTGATTTAGAAATAATTATGGAGAATTTTGTTGAAAGTAATGCCAAATTTCCTGCTCATTACCTCTAAGTAAGTTTCCAGAATAACATACTGAAGATGATGACATCTTATAACAAATTCTGAAAATAAGAAAGTTCTGAAATATCCAATTGACAGTGTTTTCCAATATTCATCCGGAGGATAAGCAACAGAGTCCTGCTGATTTAAATGAACACATGGAAATTCTCTATACTGGTATATTGAACAACAGTATGTAACTCCAGCAGTTTTCAACAGTGTTGAAGAATTGCCTGTCATGCTAAATAGAAAAAACACAGTATGCATGAGTCTGTGGAAACTTCAAGAACACTAGTTGGAATAGAATTTCTTCTGTAATATTTAGGGAATGCTTTAGCCATTGGTAGGGTAAAGCCATTTTTCTGGGTTGGAATTTCACATTTCATCAATGAGTGTGTCCTAGATATATGTAAAATATCCACAGAATATTCACTCAACTTTATTTAAGTTAACTGATGTTAATTTATATGGTATAGTAGTTACAAAGTGATCCATACAGGTCCAGAGATTCATCTGTGCACTACAGTTTATGTGATTAAGTCTCTGTATGTAGTTGATGAGCTGCCTATATATTCATGTGACTACTTCTCTTCTCATAGTGTATTTTGTGACTTTAGAATATTTTTTGCAATCTTTAAACTTTTTTTATAACTTTCCATTTTCGTGTCTACCTATGCTATCAAATGTTATTCTGTGTATCAAAAGGCAATCACTGTAGACTTTGAATGTCAAACCCCATTAATTTTAGCATACAAGTTTAGCTCATGATGGATTAAGGATTGTTCTTTGAGATTTAATAATTTCAAGCATTTTCTCCTTCTATAACAGTTTCCCTCTTCCTGCTATTTCACTTTGCGCCTGCAGTTCCCTTAATGCAGGAACCAGACCACCTCTTACTCCTAGCTTTGTGTTTTCTCAAGAACAAGAGGCAGCTTATGGGAACCATCTTTCCCTGATGCACAAGTCTTCAACAAGTTTCAGATATCTTAATTAAAAATCAGTTAGTTTGTTAGAGGAAAAAAAGACAACATAATTAGAAAAACCGTAAAACACTGTTTCCTCAGGCTAATACCCACGGGCTGGTATAACCTTCTGCCATCCATTTTGTCAGTATTGGTGAGAGCATAGAAACCTCTCAATGATTTATGCATTTGCCTGTTGTGTTCTTAGTTCTGTAAAAGAGCTTTAGCCGCTGTCAGAGGCAGGATGCTGGGCTAGCAGGGTCTTTGATCTTGTTCAGTACGTGCACTCATGCTTTTATGGTGCTATGTTTTTTATAAACTAAGAGAAGTTCTTTTGTTTGGTTCCTTACTTACCTCTGTATAAGTATTTCTGCTCCTGTGCTTCTCTATATGCAAGCTGAGTTTAAAGGGAAAATGCAAAATATGTCCGGAACATGCTGCTATACAAGTTCAGTCTTACTCTCACTTTTTTCTACCATGTAAACTTTCAGACTTGTTCCTCCCAGATTCTCACTTATGTAGAAGAACCCTGTATTCTTATCTTGTTTCCCCAGCCTTAGTAATCCGCATTATATCCAGTTTATCATTGAGATTTACTGCTCGAATATGGACAGATGAAGATGTTCTGTGTTGACACTGTGTTATAATGTCTGATACTCTATTTAAGGT